ATCGGCGACAGGCTTATATCGGACGATAATACCGGCTAAACGATATATCGGTCGGGCTCTAGTAATTACACCATAAATGCATATTATTAAAGTCTACTGTGTTTCACCGTCAACACATGGCTTTTTGGCTAGTTTAAAGGGAAGAGCACTTTTAGATAAACAAGGCAATAATAGATGGCACTCGTGGAGGTAGGAAAACAAAGTTCTTTATGAACCGCAGGATTGCTTGTAATAAAGACTTCAATGCAAATGAAAAGGCAGTAGAGCTGACTATTTCTGTTAATGGTAAGTTTGTGATAACGTAAGAAAAGTAGTTTAAATGTTTTGCCAATTGCTAGAGCAACTTAATATATAAATCTAGAAGTAAATGCAAAAGTAAAAAGCATTGAATGCGTTGCTTATATTTATTGTGCGTTTAAACATGTCTGTGAAAGATTGTATTACTGTACTGTGTAAAAAAAGAATTGCAATGCTGAAAAAGCATTTTCAGTGGCAATGTTTGAATTTGAAATCAAAATAATGGATAAATGTTGTATTTGTAGTAAACAGAATCAGTAGCGGACTCCTGTGTGAAAGCACAGTCTGTGCTGCTTCCCCTCTCACAAGAGTCACCTAAAGCCCTATTCGCACGGGATTAGTATTACCTCCTAGATGACCTCCAGTCATTTGTAATAATTGTGGAGGTTGTCTGTGATCTTAATCCCGTGCGAATCGGCCATGTCTGTCATTTGTAAAGTAAAAATTCCCCCGCAAATGACCTACCATATTTCGCCGAACACCAAGGTCCTGTGATAATATTAGTCCCGTGTGAATCGTCATCTCTGTGATTCGGCCAGCATTTGGCGGGTCGCATATCATTTTTCGAGGTTTTTGTTTGCTGTGCGCCTTTTTATCCATCTTTCGCGAAGAATGGAGCTGCGTTGGAGTGTTTGATAGTATTTTGGGTGCTGTCATCATATCGCTACACCATACAATTTGCAGAAAGAGAAAGCTGAAAAGGTTTTGAGGTTAATGTGTTACAAATAAATCAAGCACAAATCTTGAGATATTATTTTAACCTGGTAAAATGTAAACGACACAGCACACGAAACTATATTAGTTTATTTTTTAAAAATCCATGTGGACCATAAACGGGACTCTCAAAGCCTTGACATACGGGTATCTGGGAGATAAGTCAGTAAATTCGAGTAAAATCACAGGCTTCGCTTATCCCGTGCGAATGCACCACACGAAATTCAGATGTGGTGGGGTAAATTCAAAATCACACAAGGTCACCAGATAATACTAATCCCGTGCAAATAGGTCTTAAGAGGGGAATTCCCCCCATTTTCAAAAATGAAATTCAGGCCCTGAATAAATGTCTAAAAATCCTGACTGAAGTAATAGTTATAAATTATAAAAAGAAGGCTTTAAAAAGATTGGTATATATAACAAAGAGTGAAAAATTTAAGGGGGTCTGAATACTTTCCGTACCCACTGTAAATTATACAATAAATGATATAAAAAAAGAAGGCTTTAAAAAGGTATCGGTGATCGGTATCAGCAGATACTGCTTTCTGTGATCGGCCTCAAATCCTGATCGGAGCACCCCTAGTATAAATCTTAATTTCGAAAAATTGACCCTTATGACTGGTTTTGTGGTCCAGGGTCACATATATTCTTAATATTATTTAATATGTCAGGCTATACAGAGTGAAATATGTGATGCATCTTTGTCACATTTTGTAACATTTTAAACCTGAACCTCTGATAATCAGACTTATATCTGAAGTAAATTCATAAGCTTATATGTAGCTTGTACATTTATTAAGACTTCTTGGCCTACTGGTAATTTAAGGCAGTCTACCTGAAACCTACCTGTGCTGGCCTAATTATTCTGTGGCCTACCTTTATGACTCAGCTGAGGGAAATGGCAGACACCTCACTGGATTACAGAGTATTATTTAATAACTAAATATGGTAATCAAATTATACATATATTACAGCTTTTCTTTATCTGCTGAATTCCTAGTAAAACCCTTACATACACGCGATGGCAGAAAACCTGCCTCTGCAGATAAACACACACAGGCCTTTCCTAGAGCTTCTGCGTCAGGCTCGATCTCTACCTAAAACGGCATGCGTGTATGAAGACATAGCCTTTGTACACAGATCATGTTGTCAAAAGAGCTGACAATGACTGCATTTCAACTGTGAAACTCCATACAGTAGGTGCTTCCGGAAATGACTGAAGCATCTTTATAGCTCGCTGCTGAAACTCACCACCATCTCCTTGCTACATTACACGAACTTTATACTTTCAAACTTAATACCTTTATCATTTATTCTCAACGACTACATGTCATACACGCACACACACAAACACTGTTATGCATAAAACATATTAAAGCAGTAGTAATTTCTAGACAATGCTGACTGCTAGGAATGGTGCTAAATAATGCTAAAGGGAGGCTATTTTTATTCAAACATGTCGTCTAAGCAGTTAGTTATTAGTAATCAAAGTTTCTAGTTAACATTTCGTTTACTTATATCGGCTAATGTGCTCGACTATCACACTAAATCATCCGTTTCGTAACGATTTTAGCAGTTTGTGTGACTAAAAATAGGTTTGATTCACAGACAATACGAGTACGCAGAAGCTTATCAGAAGTGTATTTTTATATCATCAATCAGAGGTGCAACTTGACACGAGCTAACCTGGCTAATGCCGTCGACATTTAGCTGGTAAACAACTTGGTGTTTGTGTTCATCTGCTGCTGTTAGCCTTGGTTACCTTTATAATGCACCCGGAGGTTATTTTGAGACAGGCCGATGTAGCTGAATTTGTCTTTGGGGCTCCAGGATCTGGGGAGCGGGGTCTCCTCCTCGTTGACGGCCGGATAAAGGCGTCTAAGCCGCTGGTTGAGGTCTTTTTCCTGCTCGTTGAGAGCCAAGTCTCCGTGAACGACAACCGACATCAGAAACCCACAGCCCGATGACGGTCCTGACATCGCGATCCGATTCCCGCCGCCGATACCAACAGCTTGCCAGCTATCTTTAGCTGGACAGCTTTCTAACAGTGTCCAGTGGCTAAAGCGACCACTGTCAGACACAACAGGAGAACAGCCGCTGAGATTTCGGGCTTGTTTTATTCGGATCGGACGGCTAGCCAGCCAGCTAACTGCGATTAGCTCGCAAACAGCCTCTCTGATAGACTTAGCAAGACGCTAGAGAGAATTAATCACGCCAATACAGCGAAACGGCAGCATACAAAAACATAACAGACATCCAGAAAGTTGATCCTTGTTATTTAAGACGACATCCAACTGATCGGACAGACTAAATAGAGTGAAAGGAGCAGAAAGACAGCAGCAGAGGGAACCCCGATCTTTTGTTTGTTGTTAGTGTGAAATCCAGCGATCTGATTGGCTCTCTCAAGGTCCAGTCATACTTCCTCGAGCACTTGGTACATGACTAGACACAGGAATTAATTTGACATGCAAATACAGAATATTTGTTTTCTGTTTTTATTTTTATAATTGCTTTTTGTTGGAATATATTCATGTCTCGCTTCCCTGTTTCTGTATGTTTCTACAAGTTTTGTAATAAAAAAACAAAAAAACAAAAAACATAACATTAAAAAAAAAAAAAAAAAAAAAAAAAAAAAAAAAAAAAAAAGACTAGACACAGGCTACCAATAACATGACCTCCTTCTCACTTTGGTTGTAATCTAGTTGAGATGGCTGTGATAGTAAGAATATATGTGCACACTTACATATTATAATGGTTCGTTCATTTATTTCATCATTTTCATATATCATGGGACAGTACAGTTAGGGTGCACATTAGGGTCCCCTTACACTTGGGCTTGAGAAAATGTTCTGTTTTCTACACCTAAAACTTAGTACTTAAATGAACATGCAACATAAATTATGAATGAAAGTATTTTACTTGTGTTTTTTACAGTCGGAAAGATTGTGATTTAACATATGAAAATTATTAAACAAATTAAAGACTTGGCCAGTGTCAGTGCATTTAATCTTGTTTAAGTAGCATCAAAAGTTTTACGAAACACAATATATACAATTTCTTTATATAAAAACGTAAATAGTGGTGTTTTCCTGTACAAAACTTCACATTGGCATGTGTAAAAGTGGAATATTATAATTTATCAAGATATGATGTTTTGATTTTCCAACTTACACATGCTGAGAGCTTCATCTGATGTCTTTGTCTTTCCAATTGTTTTGGGATGTAAAGTACTTTTTGCAAACTGTATAAAGTGCATTCTCCAACATTCCTGTGATAACCATTAATGGTTCATTCATAACTTTGTCATGAAGTGTAAAAGCATATGCAGATTAGTTTCTTTAAAACATGTTCAGACATGTTCATGCTTCACATGCATTTGTGTTCCAAGAAAAACATGGAAAAGTCAAACTAATAAACATGATTAAAATATTAAAATATGTGTCCTACCCATGATTCAGTATGAGATGTTGTAGGTTAAGGGCTTTATATTGCAATCATCTGTAACACTTTACAATAAGGTTCCATTTGTTAAAATTAGTTAACTGCATTCGTTATTTATCTTTGTTATGCAATCTTAGTTCATTAATATTACTTAATTAATCTTATTAAATTCCACATGTACTCATTAAATCAAAAGTGTGTCTGTTAATATTATTTAATGCACATGAACATGAGCGAACAGTTGTATTTTTATCAACTAACATTAACAAGGATTAGTAAACACTGTATGTAACATATATATTGTTCATTGTTAGTTGATGTTAATTAATGCATTAACCAACTTTAATTAATGGGACCTTATTGTAAAAGTTATTGTATGTTAATCATTCAGACAGAGAAAAAGTACATCAGCAAGCCTAGAGAGGACATGATCATTGATCTGTCCCTTTCAGCCACTCCAGGAAAAGGCACATTCAACAATCAGACGGTTATAAAAAATGATATATATAGTGGATAATTCTGTTGAGGTGGATACTATTTTTAGGACCATCCAATCATCGTATATCCACACATAACAGTTACACTTATTGCTTTGGTCATTATGGTGGTACACAGTCCCAAAACTCAAGGCACAGGCATTGGCAAAGGCCGTACACCATGACGATGAGAAGACTTGACAGGTACCAGACTGACCATCAACACCCCCATCGTGGCATTCTGCATGATTAGCAGATAGACCCCTAGAGGCAGCGAGCTGAAGTACAGCAGCCCCAGCAGCCAGACCAGGACGCGTGCTGAAATCTGGCACAGCAGTGCCGCACAGTTCCACACTGTCCATCTCTGAGTAACCGAGGCCATGGAGTCCTGACTGGAAGAGCGGTAATCCCTACCCCGAACTAAAATAACAGACTCCTGACGAGGCTCCATAATGGTGATCACCACGTAATTGGAACGAATCGAGGTGGGAGAAGCTGAGGCAGAGTGTCCCACCAGAGAGTTGAGGCGTCTGGGACTGAGGAGAATCTCGCCTTGGTTGTCATTAAGGTTCTGATGCTTCCGTGTCTGGATGGACAGCAGTGCCGACACCAAGTTATACTCATCTGGTAGACTGTCCACATCTTCTCCGGGAAGGTCTGTGATGTAGCGGCAGAATGGACAGACCACTGCGTTTGGAGAGGATTCACCTAAATCGAGGATTTTTGCAAGGCACTTGGCACAAAGACAATGGCAGCACTCGAGGACCTTGGGCCGTCGACTTGACAGGCTGTAAGCACAGTAGCAGATCTTGCATTCCAGTTCCTCTGTGGTGAAGCCACCCACCACATCCTCCGGGAACTGTCCCATCATGTCTCCTTCTTCTCAACGCTTTCTCATCGGCTGGTTGTAGTCAAAGCTGTGTGGGAACATGGTTGCGAGGCAGCTGTTGGGCCAGTCCTGGTGTCTGGATCGCCTGTACTGTGTCACGGTGGCTCTGGACGGGTTTGTGCTGAGGAACATTTCATGCACTGTGTGGAAGGGTGGGGAGAGGCCACCACCAAAAAGATAACTGTTAACACAGCAGTAGCGAACAAACACTGCAGCAACAAAGCAGGCCCTGTAAAACCAGGGCTGGAATTGTCTAGCCAGGGCTTTTGTTGCCACTGAATTTCAGTCCAATTAGTGGCTCCACACTTCTTTCTGGTACACCGTGCTGCTTTTGCTTGCTTGATGCAAGATTATTCCAAACAGAAATAGACATTTGTCTGAAATCATATTAAGTTCGGAATTATACAATAATATAAAATATTTTACATTTATTTAAAACTTGTTCCAAGCTGTAATTTTGAATACCAGCCAGCTCAGAAGTACACAGTTCACTGTGTAACATCAAAAATTAGGTCAATGCTGTTCACTGAGCCTGTCTCTCAAAGGCAGGTATGACTGAGATTTTACCATGTAAAATGAGAATTGGTATTTATTTCCAAACATAATGTATTTTATATATCATGCTCAGATTATTTTAAGGCAAGACACTATAGGCACTTTTTTTTTCTCTTTTTGGTCTATTTGGATTTTCATAATGTGATGTTTCAGACCAGAGGAAATAAAACATTCAAAATACCCTTTTAGGGCTTTTTTAGTGCACTTTATCTGTTTGCAACTGTAGATTTCAATTTCAGTGCATATCATTAAAGGCTGTTTTCTCAAAATGATTTTTTTAATATGCACTGAACCAGAAATCTCCACTTTATTTGCACTTAAATGCACCAGACTTTACAATTTTATTTCAATCTATATTCTGAAGGATTTGTTTATATATTATCGGAGTTCATACAACATTTTATCCTCAAAATCAGTGAAAATGTTTTTTTTTTTTCTGGCTGTTTAGAGTGGTAAAAATAGATATCCAGAATCCTCTCTGTAAAAACCTGCAATATGTCAGCAAAATGAAACAAGAATTTTGAAACTGACTTTATCCAATATTCAGGTTTCTGATTTAGAAAATTGTGCAAACTAGTGCATATTGTATTTAATTATAATTATAATAATTTAAATAATGTCACATGTCACATTTGCATAAACATTCAAATGTTTTCGGTTCTTAATGTAATCAATCAACTGGGAAAGTATAACAATATACAAGACTTTGTATATGTTTGTATGTCTCAGCAAGCTCTTTATTCTTTTTCAAATGGAAAAAAAAGTATTGCTTTGGAGTTTCACAACACTGGCATTCAAAAGCAGGAGAGATGAGGGCAATTGGAACACTTGATACCGTAATGATATTAACTTAATGATAAAATAATATAATTAAATACAGTATAAATGCTTTAATACTTATTAATGTAGTTTTTTTGCCTTAATATGGTAGTAGGCTGTCTGAAATTAGATGTGTTAAAAATCCTTTTTTACTAAGATATATTGATCAGCTGACAAGTCAAGAACAGTCATCATCTGCTTAATTTCTGTGTAGTGCAGTAATGTTTATAACGTGTTCATAACAATACCCTTCAATCAAACATTTTGATAGTGTTACTATACTGGCCAAGTGTTACCTTACAGCCAAGATTAAATGTCAATCATGTTTTATTTTAACCAATGATCTAGGGATTAGTTGCATGTGACCCAGGATCACAAAACCAGTCATAAGGGTCAATTTTTTTTGAAATTGAGATCTATACATCACCTGAAAGCTGAACAAGCTTTCCATTGATGTATGGTTTGTTAGGATGGGACAATATGTGGCTAAGATACAACTATTTGAAAATCTGGAATCTGAGAGTGCAAAAAAAATTTAAATATTGAGAAATCGCCTTTAAAGTTGTCCAAATGAAGTTCTTAGCAATGCATTGCCTATTACTAATCAAAAATTACGTTTTGATATATTTATGATAGGAAATTTACAAAATATCTTCATGGAACATGGTCTTTACTTAATATCCTAATGATTTTTGGCATAAAATAAAAATCGATAATTTTGACCCATACAGTATGTTTTTGGCTATTGCTACAAATATACCCGTGCTACTTAAGACTTTCTTTTTTTTGAGTGTTTTTGGTCCGGGGTCACATAGGCTATATATGTCACAACTTCACGACATTAAACAGCAGAAGAACGTAGGCCAACGAGATGTTAAAAATAATAATACTTGAATAATATTTTATATAGCCTAGAGATTTTATTCTTTTATATTCTTTTATTTATTTATTTAATTTTATTTCCACTGCAAGTGGCTGTTTACAAGCACTTTACAGTAATGTACACTGCGCCCTAGTGGTTAAAGAGCGTATAAAGTTCATTCATATTTTGTCTTCAAAAGAAATAAAATATTAGATTATCTACATATGACTGTAAAAGAAGAATGTAGGCTAAAGAAGAAATATTTTTCAAAGCATCAGAATGATGTCTAATGTTGAACTAAAAGAATAGAAGAAAACAACGCATCCTTTCCTTGCAATATCAATAAAATCAAACAAACGTTGATTAGGCTGTAATCTCGAGCAATAAACTGCATGCAGGGGTAGCCTAACCCAGAGCAGGTGGAAAGTCGCACAGCTGAGTGAACGATGACGTAAGAGTTCCCAACAGCAACCGGGGCTGCCTCTGAGTGACGTCAGCGACTAAACAACAACAAAATAAACAGCAGCTGGCAGCGCGCGTGAGGAGCGGGGCTTGCTATGGCTAATCAGGGTGGATGCGACAGCCTGGATGCTTCAGAGGTGGAGCCGGTGGGAAAGAGCGCCGGTACCGGCGAGACTTCCTCCAGATCACTCAGCTCAGGTGGAGGAGGAGAGATGGCGGAGAAAGAGGAAGAGCAGCCTTCGAGAGTCCGACACCCTGCAGACACTTATCCTCTGTGCCGTATATCAAAGCTGGTTAACTGGAAAAGACCATTATGGACTTCCGCTTTTTTCGCAACTACAAATATAGCGTTTTGGTGAGACACATGACGCAGCATATTTTTATTACATGCAGAATGTATGAATGCAAATATAACATTTTCTTTAAGACGTAGGCTAGTGATGTTGGAGTTTAAATAAAATATTGCATTAATGGGTCAGTCTTTATCGCTTTCCAATGCTCTACATTTCTCTGCCTAATTAAATCAGCAGGCCCTAACTGTTTTTTATAGTCTGGCCCCTAAGGCATGTTCCTTTGACCATTTTCTCTGTAGGCTATCTGTGGTTGCACTGGACTTCACTACAGTTGTATTGCTATTCGTACTGTGGTGGACCTTTTGTGTTAGTGACAATAGTTTCTTTTGCATAGCATGATGATACATTTTTGAAGACAAACTTTTGAATTCAAAATTTCATATGCATTTCCCTGCATGCACAAAGGTTGTCAGTGTATTTATGGCATTTGTTCGTTTTGAATAAATCTTGTTGTGGCATGTGGATAAATATCGTATTTGGGTTAACAGGGCTTTATTTGGAGTGCAATTAGGAATTAGTTTCATCCTCAAAGCACATGATTTTACATAACTTGTAATTAGAATAAATAGAAATAATAATAATCACACTTGAGCATGTAGTTTTATTGTTTTTAAAGGTATGATGACAGATCTTAGATAATTTTACAGCTTTTATCTTAAAAAAAAAACAAGCACTATACATACGAAAGTGATAGATAGATAGATGTCTGTTTACTGTAACTGTGCACGTGATTAAAGATGGGAAACCTGATTGTTGTTTTCTATTTCCATGCAGGTTTGTGTCCCTTAGTCCCAGTCGGTTGTTCAGCCTCGTCTCCATGTGTGTGGCTCTCTTTGTGATGATTCAGTTGATGAGAGATGTGGCTCTTTCCAGATCCAGAGGTGTGGGTTTGTTTCATACCCTAACATGTGTGACTGTTGTTACTGTAAGAATAGAAACAAATTTTTATATGGTGTCCACCACCAGTATAGATCCCATGGATGTTTATTTTCCTACTTACAGGAGCCGCTCTATGGAGGAGTATGACAAGCAGGTAAATTTAGAGCATGCACACCTATTCAAATAGTGTCTTGCGCTCACCAAGGCTACGTTTATTTGATCAAAAATCCCGTAAAATTGTCAAATATTATTACAATTAAAAAACTGTGTTCTATTTTAATATATTTTAAAATGTAATTTATTTCTGGGATGGCAAAGTTGAATTTTCAGCAGCCATTACTCCAGTCTTCAGTATCACATGACCCTTCAGAAACGATTCTAATATGCTGATTTAGTGCTCAAAAACATTTCTTATGATTTTTGTTGAAAACAGCTATTTTGTATTTTTGTGGAAACCAAGAGACACTTTTTAAAGGATTCTGTAAGGAACAAAAATATTTGAAATAGAATTTTTGTAACATTGAATACGTGCCTTTGATCAATTTAATGCATCCTTGCAGAATAAAAGTATTCATTTCTTAAAAAGTCATATTAACCCCAAACGATTGAACTACTTTTTAATTACTTTTTTTAATAAACTGAACTTGACAGCGATCACCATATTTTTTCATTTTGAGAAAAAGAGCAGCTTTTATGTTCACTAATACTGTTTGAAACAACATGACAGAATTTTAATTGAAAGCAAATCTACCTACAACAGATATACAAATAGTCCTTTTGGTAGTTGCATTGAAAATGTACTTGACTCAAAATTTTGAGGAGGGCACACATCTGAATGTATTTATAAAGGTGTTTTTACCTCAAGTATTTTCCATTCATTAGCTACAGTCCAGCCTGCAGCCACTAGAGGGCGTCCTATACCTCTTATTGGCATTATTGATGACATACAGCAATTTATAAAGCCTGTCATGTGAGTTTAGAAATGTCAGTGAAATCCAGTGTTTCTGTGAAGGAGCTGTTGTGAGATCAAGACTAATTAAGAAATCTAACAAAGCACTCCTGACCTTCTTGAAACTTAGAAATGTACAACACTGGTAACCTTTCTCATGCAGTACTTTGAAGAGTGTGTCCTAGTGAACCAAGATTATATAATCAATATTTACGTCAAATCTTTGCATATGAGAACATTTAAAAGTTGGCCTAAGTTTATTAAAGTATTGGATTAGTGG